AGCAATTTGGGGTTCAGTATATTGCTCAAGGAGGCAACAAGGATTCGCTAGGCAATATGTAATTTTGAATCGTAATATCCAAATATTTTCTAGAAAACCAATGAGAAAATTTTTTTTTACTGAAAATAACCCATTGGTCTGTTCCACTGAACTGATATCTGACAAATCAAGAAATGTTATTATATGGATACAAAAGTGAAATCCAATATCACCCAAAACACATATTAAAAGTGATAGCTGCTACAGTTGGGAAAAATCTCCTACCACTACCTTCATCTCAAAACTTGTGTACATAAAACCAAAACTATTTGCAAGGGTAGATACCATTAGTATGATTTTTTTCCTGTAACATGGGTAAACCAGTCCTTTAGCATTTGTTTTTCACTCTTGTATGTACTCTTGTTTTATCCTTATGAGCCACCATAAAATCATTATTGCATTGCCATGAAAACAATGTACAGGACTGTCGCTCAGATCATTGCACTACATATTTTTGTTGTTTTTGTGGTTTTGGAATTCAAGCTTATTCTACTGACTGTAAATCTCAGTGAAGAAGAGCATCAGCTAAATGCCTACATGATAAAGTAGCACATCATGAATCATCTTGAACAAGACACATGAATATATTGCAAGTGCCACATCTCATCATTAAAAATGTTCCCATGAAATGATGCGTTTTTCCTCTCTGAAGTGAGCATGCAGCAGCCCTTTAAAAATTATCTTTCCTTTGACCCTTCACCACAGAGCTCACACGGCGAAACACAGATTTGTTAGTACAGACATCTGAAGTGTCTTAAAACCAACTAAAAGAGAGAGACCTTTACATTCCCACCCACGTGTTAGATAAAGGGAATGAATACACCGCTGCACTGGCAGTCAGCCATAATGACCCAATTAATGGTCCTCAAACCAAAGAACATCTCTGAAAATTAACACTGAACAAATAATGATCTTCATGCCGTCTTTCTCGTTCTTACTCTCTAACCTGATTTCTTCTAGCTCCGTTTCTCTCCTCCTTACCTCCATCTCCATTCTCTCCCTCTATCTTACACTCTCTCCATTTCAAAAGGACAAATGTTTCCTGCAGTCACTGTAGCACTGCATTGGTATTCTGCTCTCAATTTAGCCAAGAGCCAGGCAGTGGTATCTGCTTCCAGCAACCACACAGCAATCTGACAGAGCGCACAGAGAGAGGGGGAAAAGGCTTGAAGAATTAAAGGAACTGAAACATATGAGAGACAGCAAGAAAAAGAGAGACAGACAGATCTATATTGCTGTCCAGCAGTGACATCATTTGCTGTGCTATAGGGTCTCTAAACAGCAATGACTTATCCGCAAGAAATGAAGAATTCTGCTTTTGTTTGGCTTCTTTGGAGAGCAAAAAGCGAAACAATACAGCATCTCAGGCTGTTGTGGTATTTCTACATCAAAACAACCTAAATGCTTTGACCTAAATCATTGCTGCATGCTGATTTTATTCTTATTACTTCAGATCTATCAAAAGCAATACTGCAACAAAAATTTGAACAAAATATTTTGTTTGGGTTGATTTATTTTTCAGCACTGTCAAAGCTTATCTGTGAGTGCCACAAAAATGCAAGGCTTCAAACAACTGGCACATAACTGCTGGCAAAGTAGTTATCTACCTTTTGAAGATTTAGTAATTACAAGTCATTTCATCACACAGGACAAGGTAGGAGCTACTGAGTCTATTGATTATTATGGAGGCTGCGATGCAATATTAATAGTACACATTATAACAGCAAAACTGGAGATAATGTAGGATGGAGGACTTTTCCCCCATTACAAATTATCAAGACAGAGCAAGCAATTTCTGATGGCTGCATAGGGAATGAGATAACTGACAAGCAAGGTGTGGAGACAGTTTGAAAGAAAAAGAGAGGGGAGATAAGTGAGGGAGGAGGAGAGGCAGGAGTAGGAAGTGCTGACAGCGGGTAAAGGTGAAAGAGAGATAAGTGGAGTAAGGGAGTGAACTCAGGAGAGACGAGGGGGGAGGGAGGTGAAGAGAGATGGAAAGCCCAGATAGCCTTGAGAAGAGAAGGTAGGAGGCGGGTGAAGGAAATGCTGCGGGACGAAGAGAAACAGAAAGATGGATGAATGTGAAAGAGAGGGAAAAACCATAGATATGGAAATGGAATGTGTCAGTGAAGGAGGGAGCCAGAGGTGTAAAACAGAACAGAGTTTGACATGAGCTGACAGCACAGGAGCACTTCCCAAGAGCATATGAAGGCAAGAGAAAGGGTGCACGCCAGAGACAATAGGCTTGGAAAGAAGGAAGGAAGGAATGAAGGGAGGAAGGGAGGAAGCAAGAAAGCAGACCTACAATGTATGATTTTGCATATAAAATATTCTGTTTAGATATTCAGCACCTTTGATGTTAAGTATTGTTTTTTTTTTTTAAATCCCAGCAAAATTCAAAGTAGCACCTGTGCCATGTCTAAAACTTGTATGAGTCACATAATCCCTAAGAAAGCGTTCCCTCTTCAACACCTCAATCTTTCAAGCAAAGAAACGTCTTAAAAACAACTTTGGAAATAGAAGCCTGAAAATAGCAAAATGCCTGCCTTTTCATAAAATATCTCATCCTCCTTTCTCACTGGATCTACATTTCGACTATTAAACCCTACTAGAATACAGACATCCTGTTGCCTCATACCAAAGAAATTAGTCACACGACTTTTCTGCAAGAAACTATTTTTCATCAGAACTGCACTCATGTTACTCTGCAGAACCTCTCATAGTATTGACCCCTTAGAAGACTGATTTGCTACGAAGTGAACCCCAAAAAACCTCAACGTTAAGGGCCAAATCTCCCACATCTCATGACCAAATTGAAATTTTGAGTAGCCAAGTATCCAAACAAAGAATATCTTTACCATGCCAAAGCGTAGCATACCCTGGTAGCAATGAATGCTGCTCTGGAACAATGGAAATGGAAATCAGGTAAAGCAGGTACAGTATGAACTTTTCTTACCTTCCTTGCAGTACTTCCCCTTGAAGCGGGTGTGGGTGCAGTCACAGTGAACTTCTCCATACTGAATAGAGCAAAGCCCTCCATTGAAGCACGGGTTCTGTTTGGTGCAGAGGTACTCCAGGTCACTCTGAATGCCCTGGCTATTTAACAAAGTAGGAGGCATCTCCCCCACCTTCAGATTGGAGATCAAACCCTGGAAGGGTGGCTCATACTTCACTGTGCTAGATGTCAGAGCAGAGAGGCGCACATCAGGCGGGATCCCACCCACAAACAGGTCACTGACGACTGCCATCTCCTTCCTCTTGGACTTGACCTCAGCCACTTTTGTCTCACCATCGACCATCAGGAGGGTCTCACGGAAGTTGCGGGTGAGCAAGACCATGTGCCAGCGGTCATCATTTACCCGTGTCTCCATGTGCAAAGTAGCCGGCTCAGCACAGTGGATGGCAAAGCGCAGCTGGAGGCGGCCACCAGCTATCAGCAACTCCAAAAAGTCACAGTTGCCACCATCATCCAGGTAGAGTACCAAGGCTTTGCTGATGTTGGTCTTGAGACTGAAGCTCAGCTCGCCTACTGATCCAGCTTCCCAGCGTCCATAGCGTGCCCACTGGCCGGGCGCCCCACCAAATTCCAGCATCTTCACTGTAGTGAGCAGGCTGAAGAGGGCCAGAGGCCACAGGGGCCAACACAGGAATCTTAACCCCCTTGTCATGCTCAAAGTTCCCAAGCTTCCCCTTTTCTACTTGATGCCTATTAGGTCTAATAAACCCCAGAGGTAAAACCTCGCTTTGCTGTGGCAAACAGTTTTCAAATGTAAACAACAATTACTATATAACACTGAACTAAGATTTAAAGCACACTGAGTAAAGTAATCCTTCACAGTGGCCCTACTCCTATTTTCCTGATGAATCAGCAGTTTTTTCCTCTTCTCTCTGATGCTCTAATTCTTGTCCTTATCCTGACTCTCTCCTTCGTCTCTCCATCAGTTGGTGCCTCTGGGACTTGGAGGAAAGGAATGAGGAATAGCGGGAGAGTAAAAGAGGGGGGGTATGATAATTTCAACACAGCCGTTTCTTTAAAAGCCTACTGGTCTATCCTGGACTGAAAATAGAATCTTCGTCTCTGGAATCCAGATCTCAGTGCAATTTCCAGGAAATTTGAGCTACCGCCAAAAGCTTGGGGGAAGAGTTATCCGATTGTGATCTTTCTTTAAGAGGGAGGGGAGGTGCAAGCAGAAGAAAATGAGCAAAAGAGTGAGGCAGCTGTAGAGCAGACAGGTATCAAAGCTTGCTGGCGTCTGCAGGAGCATACGACGTGTTCATAGTTTCAACGTAAACCCATTATCCTCCTGAAACTTACAGACCACAAAGCTTCACACAGGTATAGGTCCCATCATCATGTCGGCAGGTGGGGATCTGGAAGAAACACACACAAAAAAGCAACTGTAAATTACATGCAAAAATAAAAATGTGACCCATTCTAAATTAAGATAATCAGCAATTACTCTGTTGATAGCCTTGAAAGATTTTAATTTTCTTTATCTTTCATCTACTTGCACCTGCAGTTTTAGACACCATGTACCATGTATAAAATGCTCTTTTCAGTTGAAAGCTGACACAAAACATTGTCTAGAGCCAAGCAATAAATAAGCTTTCTGAGTTTCACATGGCTCCATACTTCCCAGAGGGGCCTGAGCAATATGACTGTCTTATTTCATCTGCTCCTTCACAGTCTTGTCAATAGATATGTCAACCAATGTACTGAACCTAAACATAATGCTTTCATATGCAGTGAAGAGAGCTGTCATCCATACACACTTTTTGGCCAATCAGAGTATATGTGATAAATCACACCCTTCCAGTTTGGCGCACATACACACTATGGACATGCATATCCAGACACACACATCATTAAATCAAATGCGATTCAGAGTGGAGTGCTGCAGAGTCAATAGCTATCTGAATAGCTGGTCTTGACCCTGGGGCTTGGCCTAATCCCAAGCCATTATTTCTTGAGTGTGATCTAATTTCCATCACCAAAAGTCTACAATTAAAGCTAGGTTCACCACTGCTTTGCTCCTTTGTGCTATCATGCCTGGCTTCAAAGTGACAACAGTGATGATGCTAGCATACAAGCGGGGAGGGAATGTGAGAAATGTGGGAGAAATACAGACAAAGACAGAGAGAAATAAAGGCTGCATAATCATGATCTCAGAGGGGTGAGGCTTAACGTTAATGGAGAAAGATGACAGAGAACAGGGGACAGACAGAGCTTTGAGAAACAGAAGACGGAGGAAGACAAATAATATTGGGGCTATTTTTCTCTGGGTGATGTTCATATTGGCAAGCAAGAGAAAGTAATGTTGTCTTCAAATGGAACTTGTGAGGTTGTATTTCCACATCGGAAACACCATACTTGTCCAGTGTATCATTCCAAAAGTACAACAACCACAAACGTCACCATGTCACAACTGCTGAACACTACACATATGAACTCACATATGATCTATTTTAGCCATAGCTAATGGCTTTCAATGATAAACAGCTCAATTTGTGTTCAAAGTGTTTGCACTTTGATGGATATTATTACACATTGGTGGCTTGCAGCAACATGTACCTCTGGCAATTATTTCAACTGGTACAAAAGTGCAAAAAGAAAGAAAAACAACGGCAAGTCGTTTATCTTTTATGTTTTGCCATTTTTCTATGAGCCACCTTCCTAAATTTCATCAGGAGATGTAATCTACTCTCTGTGTTGAGTGTATGGGTTACTGATTTACAGTTGTGTTGCTGACAGCAAAAGGAGGACCGGAGTCTTGTGGTAAATGGTAAATGGTAAATGAACTGTACCTGTGTAGCACCTTTCTAGTCTTCCAACCATTCAAAGCACGTTTACACTACATACCACGTTCACCCATTCACACACACTTATACAGTGATGCCAAACTCTCATCACAAACAGAAACAAATCCATTTCACATTCACACACCAATACACGTGTTATCCGTACACATGACCATACTAACTGTATGTTAGGCTGTCGTTAAATGCGTGACGCTGTCAGACAAAATGTCTTCTAATATGCGTCAGGCACTACATGCCTCTAGGAGTGATAAAACCGGGGCTGGTTTATTTTTGTCTCTGAGTGGCAGAACCCAGTCTGCATGTTCCCTTTCGTTTGCATGCATGCATATGCATATATATAT